ATGAATCAATTGTAGAAGATAACTGCACCCGCTTGTTCATCATGCTCCGTGTATTTGTGAAAAGTACAGACACGTGCTCGACATGTGGCTGCGATGAAGATAGCTATGGATGGGGACTGGCGCGGGGAGTATGCACTGACGCGCTACCGCTCGATGCATGCGACACTTGGTTAGGAGTGACGTCACAAACCTCATCGGTCGCCGCGCAGTATACGTACGTTTTCTTGTTCATTACAAGTTTGCTGTTACGCAGTGAAAAACGCTGACCGCTTGCATTGCCAAATTCAATAAACCGATCCCACAGGCCAGTTTCGCGACGCCACCGCTGCCGCGGCAGCCGCGGTGCATGCCGGTACTTGTAGTCGTCCGGGCGCACCAGCCAGCCGAAGTGCCTGAGCGTTCCCTTTTCGATAGATTTTTCGGTCGTGTGGAGCCGTCTTACGATGGGAGGATTTACGTGCTGTGTTCCTGGATGCTACAACAACAGCACAAGGGATAAAGGCTTGGGTTTCTACGTCTTTCCTAAAGAGCAAAAGCTTCGGGAGACGTGGATTCAGCGTATCAACAGGGCTGGACGGGGCGGCAGGTAAGACATCTTATTAAATGTATAGTGCCGCTTTGAAACTAAATAAGCGTATTGCGGTGGTTTTTTTATGTGAATGTTTAATCATGAAGCTTAGCATACCAAAGAATATGATCTTTGCTCACTCTGCCTGCGTATACTCTTACCGGATAGCTCAGCCGCGGTTCGCGGTTGTGCATGCCGGTCATTTTTTAGCGCATCTTCCTTATTCTAGCGTTTTTTGTTACCGCTGCGTACTAATATTATTATTATTACGAGTTGTAGTGCTGAGGTCTTTTAGTTTTCCATGTTGCGCAAGTGCAGCACCGCGTACGCGGCTTGCGTTTTTTTTTTTTTTTTTTTACAACGCAAGTGGCAAGCATGCAGGCATAAGGGGAAGGCAAGCTCATTGACGAGGCTCTCCTAATAGCTCTACCGTACATCGAGACCTTACTTTTTAGAAACGACGTAACGTACTTCACGGCACGCTTGCAACAACTTACCCAGAACTCGTTGTGCCAAACGGCGATTAGCTTTCGCGGATCACCCTCGATGCAAACGGTGCCTCTGTAATCTCGTCCTTTCCGTAAAATAGTTATCTGGTGCATGCACGCGGCCGATTTCGCTGCACCTATGCAGATGAGTGGCACAAACAGCTGTATAATTTACCTGTGTGTGGCGTTGTCGAGTGAGGCTGAAAATTAAAATTACATTTGTCATTTGCCCTTGACTGATATGGAACTTTTTGTACGTTAATCAAGAGAAAGTGATACTGTTGTCTTGCAGTGGTAGCATGCAGACTGGACATTTAAAAGGAACCTGAAAACGCAGTAGGTGATGTTCAGTGTCATATGAAATAATGCTGGAACTTTTTGTGCTCAGGTTCTCCAAGTTTACGCCTACCACGGGACACCGAGTATGCGGTGCCCGTGGTAGCGACCGCGTCGTTCGGTGGACTAAAATCAGAACGCCACCCAAATTAAGAATTTCAAATATTATTACTACCAAATGCTGTATGTTGAACGCGACACTCGTGCACGTAAGTGCCGTAAGACACGAAAGGTTCGGCGCCGCATATAAAGCCTGTCCCCAACAGCACGTCACTGTGCAAACAAACGTTGCAATCCCCGAGATGCACATGCGAAAAAAACAGTCGCGCAGAACAACCGCTTACATACATCACTCAAATGAAAACGGTACTCAACAGGCAATGAACGGGTGGCTGTCCTAAGTCCCGCCGAAACGAAGGAGTAGCAGGCACTTATGACCGAAATTCGCGCCGCCTGCTCCCATTAACAGACAATGTAGGTATTGAAAATACTCACATGACGACTTTTTCTTGCTGGTGAAATCGGAGAGACGTCCGCGAAGCTCCGGCGCAGTACTGAAATAGCGGCGGCCACTGCGTAGTCGCTGTAGTCTGGTTGACCGATTGACTACAACTAAGATGGCGGCGGGGCAACTCCGGAAAACCGGCGCATGCGCTGATCGGCTGGTGGGATCGGTCTATTAGCTTCTTGCGCGATTGCCGAGTGGTTCGGCAAAAGTCCTCCCCTACTGACACGCCTGAGCTTTTAAGTTTGGCTTTTCGTGAAAGGATGCGGTCCCTCACTTTGGAAGAAGAAAACTTGACGATGATGGGTCGCATTTTCGTGGCTGAAAAAGCGCCCAACCTACGTGCTCTCGAGATACTACCAGAAAGTTCAGAACTTTGCATTTCAAGCTGAGAGGCTAGGTTACACACGTGTGCTTCAGATTGCTCCCATGTCTCCGTTTCATTGTCAGCTATTCCATAAAAGATAAGGTTGTCCCTTCTGGACTGGTCTTCAAGCTCGTCCATCCTTGACTTCAATTCCGCATTTTCGCTTTGGACAGCGGCAGAAACAATGTTTGTTATGTCAGCGGCACATGGTCCGCGGTCAAGGGTATCGACAACTAACTCAAGAGCGTCCATCCTAGTTGCTAACTCGGAGACCGTTCGTGTCAAATTTTCTTGATTCTTTTTAAGGTCAGCAAATTGCTGCAAAACATCCGCGTGACGCGACTCCAGTTTGGCGGAAAGATTGGCGATAGCTGCTAGGACTTCCGAATTAGGCCCCGGATTCGTCTCCACATCGCCGCAAAGCAGCAACTGTTTTGATACAAGAACGCATTCACAAAACATCTCGCAAAGGACACTTGGGCACGGAAAGAGCAGCAGGCAAACGTTACTAGAACGTTTACAGTACAGTGACGGAATTTCACTAACCTGCACAACAAAAAGCAGCGGCTTGGTCAGTGACGAACACATGCCTGCCGCTCCCTCGTGCCCACTAAAGGCTGGCGTACGATGCCCGTCCTTTAAGTAGTCGGTGTCTAGTGTTGACCATGTCGATGACGCTTGCTTGTTCAGAAAGGGCTTGAAGGTGGTTTCAAGATCCGGTTGGTGACGAAAGCATGGCTCGTCGATAATCGGCGCCGGAGGCACCAGCTGAACTTGCAGGACTGGAACAGTCGATGCGTCATGCTGTGGTAGAAGCCATGCGCCAACCAGGAAAGACTGCACAACAAAAAGCAGCGGCTTGGTCAGTGAGGAACACATGCCTGCCGCTCCCTCGTGCCCACTCACTCATTGCTAGTAGAATGAGAAGAAAAATTTTCCCAGTCAATATTAGGCAAGTTAAAATCTCCTGACAAGATGAGTTTGTCATGTGGCTTTATATTTTGCCGCAAGTAGGTTCTAAGCTTATCCAGAACACTATCAGAAGAGTTCGGGGGACGATAAACCGCACCTATAACATAACGAACTTTGCCTATATAGACTTTGCAAAATATGCCCTCAACTTCTAATATATCAGGCAATTGTTGCGGATGTAATGAGTTCTTGAAAACTATTGCCATTCCTCCTCCTCTTCGGTCGCGGTCCTTGCGGAACACGTTATAGCCTTTTGGGACAAATTCGCTATCAAAAATTTCACTGCTTAACCACGTTTCAGTAAGTACAGCTACATCGGCATCGTGCGACAGTATGAGACCCTCAAGCTGGACTGATTTGTTGACAATGCTGCGGCAATTTACGTTTAAGATAATGAAAGGCGATTTCGTTTTGTTATGAAGTCATTCGGAATTTCCGGAAACCTTGTAACGCTTGCCTTTTTTTTCGTCCCATCTGTATATTTTCTTGTCAATGCTTAGCTTATCAAAAATCATTTTGACCTTACTACCAGCTTCTCTTTCTTCTGCAGAACTCTGCCAGAGCTTTTTCCGAATTTCCCGCACTTTCTTAGAAAAATCTTCCGAGACCGAAAACGGGGTTCCTTTTAATTTTGGACACGACTTCAAAATCTCTACCTTGTCACGATAATCTAGGAGCTTAATTATAACCGGGCGAGCTTTCTCGTTCTTTTTGCCAAGTCTGTGGCACCTTTTGATACTGCTCACCGAGATTTTAAGCTTCTCTTCGAAAACATTCGTTTTTATCTTCTCGACAAGTTCTTCGGGTGTTTCAGACGGGTCTTCATCGATACCGTACAGAATCAAGTTATTTTTTCTACTCCTATTTTCTAAATCATCAACCTTTCCCAAAAGATACGACACGTTTTTTTCTAGTCTCACTACAGTATCCTTTAGTGCACACATATCTGTTTTCAAAGCACTTATTGCAGACAGCTGAACTTCAAGGCCATTTAAACGCTCTGTAACTGACGTGATATCTGCCTCAAGTTTCGTTTGCTTACTCAGAATTTCATTCATAGATGCTGTCATAGCAGTTTGACCAGAAAGAAGTTTAGCCAACATTTCCTTCTCGCCGGGGCCAGGGTTTGATTCAACGTCTCCGCAAATCAACAAGTTTTAAGCAAAAGTGCACACATCGACATGTAAATTGAGAACACACAGTGGGCACGGCAGCAGAAACGAAAAGCGGTCATCGCTACGGTAACATTTGCCATAAGAATAGGGACTAACCTGCAGCGTACAAAGAAATGGATTGTTGAGCATCTTGCCCGTCGTGCTGCTGCCGAGCCCACTGGAGGGGATGGCTGACGTGAGGCAATTTATACGGGCTGGTAGGACCACGTGGTAGTCCGTTCCTGAGGCAGGCGCCGGCGCAGAAGATACCGCACCCGGCACGATGAATTCCGCTTCACAGCGGTCGCAGGCCACTTGATAAGCCTCCGTTGATGCTCTGCAGTCGACAACGCTGGACGAAGGAAGCGGTAAAGGATCCAAAGCACAGCCATGCTCCGAAGATTGCGACACAAAAAGTGAAGCAAGAACCTGCAGCGTACAAAGAAATGGATTGTTGAGCATCTTGCCCGTCGTGCTGCTGCCGAGCCCACTGGAGGAGCGGATGGCTGACGTGAGGCAATTTATACGGGCTGGTAGGACCACGTGGTAGTCCGTTCTTGAGGCAGGCGCCGGCGCAGAAGATACCGCAACCGGCACGATGAATTCCGCTTCACACCGGTCGCAGGCCACTTGATAAGCCTCCGTTGATGCTCTGCAGTCGACAACGCTGGACGAAAGAAGCGGTAAAGGATCCAAAGCACAGCCATGCTCAGAAGATTGCGACACAAAAGTGATGGACACAACAGCAAGTCCAACTGTCTCTTCGGTGCCGAAACACAGGCGCGGCGCACTGGAGCGCGCCAGAAAATCTAAAACCATCATTACAGAGCCTGAAAAGGCTTCTTAACTTGACGCAATACCTGTTTAGTACACACAGCACTCATTTACACTCATAATGGATACATAAATAATACAATGGAACGTCAGAGGATTGCTCAGAAATCTCGACGATATCCAGGAACTCTTACACGAACACTCCCCAAAAGTGCTGTGTGTATAAGAGGCACACTTAAATTCCAGAAACGCCAATTTTCTACGTCGTTATGTAATGTTGAGAAAGGACTGCAATGACACTGTAGCTTCATCTGGCGGTGTGGCCATTATACTTAATCAGGACGTAGCATGTACACATCTACCGCTACAGACATACCTTGAGGCAGTGGCTGTTCGAACAGTTCTTTTGAGCAAACTTGTCACCATCTGCTCTCTTTACATACCTCCATAGTACCGTCTTAAAAACACGAATTCCAGTCACTGATACATGAACTTCCGGAACCTTATGTGGTCCTTGGGGACTTGAATGCACATAATGGTCTATGAGGCGACTCTCGCTGCGATGCACGAGGTCGCCTAATCGAACAGTTTTTCTTTTCTTCGGGTGCGTGTCTGTTGAATAGGAAAGAGCCAACATACTATAACCTTGCCAACAAAACTTACTCTTCCATAGACCTCAGTATCGCATCTCCTTCACTTGTACCATTACTTCAGTGGAAAGTCATAAATAATCCATACGGAAGTGACCATTTCCCTTTAGTTTTGAGTACACCAATAATAAATGAATGTCCTCCACATGTTCCCAAAGGGCTGGTAAACAAAGCCGACTGGGAACAATTTCAAAAGCTTACTCACTTAAATTGGACTGACATATGCGGATTAGGCATAGATGAAGCTGTGCAGTACTTCACGGCTTTTCTTACTGACACAGCAACCAATTGCATTCCACAAACATCTGGTATGCCGGGCAAGCGACGCGTCCCATGGTGGAACACTGAGTGTCGGAATGCCCGAAAAGAGTAGAACAGGGCATGGAGGTTGCTTCGGAATTCACCGACAGCCGAAAATCTTGACAGCTTTACGAAAATAAAGTCTCAAGGCAGGAGAACACGTCGGCAGGCCAGAAGAGAAAGCTGGCACAAGTTTTTATCAAGGATAAATTCATATACACAAGAGGCTAAAGTGGAAAATGGTTGGTAGGGTAGCTGGAAGACAAGTACACTCACTCCCACTCGTAAACACACAGGGTGACAGCCTGGAAGAGCAGGCGAGCTTCCTCGGTGCACACTTCGAGCAGGTGTCTAGCTCGTCACACTACACTGAAGCTTTCCAAAGGTACAAAGCAAAGATAGAAAAGCAGAAACTAGAATACAAGTTCACAAATTACGAGGCATATAACCAACCTTTCAACTTAGCTGAGCTACAAACTTCACTAAACTCCTGCAGTAATTCTGCCCCAGGCTACGACCGTGTCACTTATGAAATGTTAAAAAACCTGCTGCTCAAAACGCGAAAAACTTTACTCTCCCTATACAATGCTATCTGGCTTTCTGGCACCATCTCTGCTTCCTGGAAAGAGGCTATTGTTATCCCGATTTTGAAACAGGACAAGGACCCTTCCTCAGTTTCGAGTTATAGGCCCATTGCACTTACAAGCTGCCTTTGTAAACTTTTTGAGGACATGATAAACCGCCGACTTTTACATTTCCTCGAAACACACAATCTGCTCAACCGATTCCCGTGCGGGTTTAGAGAGGGTAGATTCACCATCGACCATCTGGTGCGCATTGAGGGAGAGATTCGAGACGCTTTCGTCCACAAAGAATACTTCCTCTGTGTTTCTCGATACTGAGTATACGACACAAAATGGCGTCTTGGCATATTAAGAGACCTGTCTCACTTGTGTGCGCGGTAGAATGCTTTCCATAATCGAGAGTTACTTGTCCAATCGGACATTACGTGCCCGTGTGAGCAGTATTCTCTCTCAAACATTTGTCCAAGAAACGGGAGTACCGCAAGGTGATGTACTTAGTTGTACACTTTTTATTATCAAAATGAATTCCTTGCATCTGTCCATCCCCCGCAACATGTTCTATTGCACATATGTCGATGACGTCCAGCTTGGCTGTAAGTCATGCTACCTAGCAATGTGTGTGCGGCAGGTTCAGTTAGGTTTAAACAAGGTTTCCAAATGGGCAGAGGAAAAGAAATACCGACTGAACCCACAAAAAAAGCACGTGTGTCTTGTTCTCCCGAAAGAGAGGCATGCACTCAGAATCCAACATTGAACTGAACGGTCAACGCCTGTCTGTTAATGCGGAACATAAATTCTTAGGCTTAATCTTAGACAATAAGTTGACCTTCGTACTACACATCAAGCATTTAAAAATAAAATGTTTAAAAGCCATGAATGTTTTAAAAGTGTTGTCACGCACTAAGTGGGGTAGTGACAGGCAATGTCTCGTGAATCTGTATAGAAGCCTCATTCGCACCCGCTTAGATTATGGGGCTGTTGTTTATCAGTCTGCGACTCAAAGTGCTTTGAAGATGCTGGACCCTGTGCACCATTTGGGCATCCGCCTTTCTACGGGTGCCTTTCACACCAGCCCCGTAGAAAGCCTTTACGTTGAGTCAAATGAGTGGTCGCTTCATCTGCAGAGAAATTACATGTCCTTTGTATATTTTCTTAAAGTGAAAGCAGACAAGAAGCACCCCTCATACTCTACTATTAATGATTTGTCGAGCTCCATTCTGTTTCAAAACAGGCCTTCGATGAGGCAGCCCTTCTCAGTTCGCCTGAAGGGTCTAGCTGAGGAAACTGGAGTGTCACTTGAATACAGATTAATGGCTCCTGTAGCATACCCGCCACCATGGCAGTGGCAGACTATAGACTGCGATGTGTCTTTTCTAGAAGTTTGGTTGTCTTTTCTAGAAGTTACCAAACAAGTGCCCATTGCCCATATCCGAACATACTTCCTGGAACTTTACCCACCACCATGGCAGTGGCAGACTATAGACTGCGATGTGTCTTTTCTAGAAGTTTGGTTGTCTTTTCTAGAAGTTACCAAACAAGTGCCCATTGCCCATATCCGAACATACTTCCTGGAACTTTAACACAAATACGCACATCCTGAGTTCTTTACAGATGCCTCCAAGTCTAACTCCTCTGTGTCCTACGCTGCTGTCGGCCCATCCTTTTCGGATGCTGGCCTTCTACATCCAGGCACAAGTATCTTCACAGCAGAAGCTTATGCGGTACTTGTGGCGGCTAAACACGTCAAGCAATTACAAATACAAAAGGCAGTAATTTATACGGACTCCCTCAGTGTGGTAACGACTCTCCACACTCTTAAAAAACAAAAAAACCCTGTCCTCGTCTCACTTTTTTCCATTTTATGCACACTCTACACACTAAAACATGTCGAAGTGTGCTGGGTCAATGCCACCTAAAAAAAAAGTTCAGGCCTGCTCACTGCCGCCGTGACGTCACGCGTGTTGACCGAGCCACGCGGGCGGCGCGTCTCGTCGCCTACCGCGGGAACAAACGATCGCTTGGAGTTCCACATATGTGACCGCTTTATTTGGCATTTTGCACTGTAATCAGCGCTGCTTTAAGCAAGCCACGACGCTTTAACGTTCGTTCTCACTTATACACATAGCGGTGGCAACAACAAAATGACGTCGGCCTCGGAAGTTTATAATGAAGAAAAATGAGTACGACGGACATTGGATTTGCACATTCATTTTACTAACATTTTATCTGTTGGCCCAGCCTTTGTCAAAGAAGTACATGCTTTTCGGTTTCCTTATGTACAGACTATAAATAATAGTGTTGCGCACAATAATCACAAAGAGCATGAAAATTTGAAATAGCGATAACGCCGGCGAGGTTGATCATACGGCAAGTTATATGTAATTGGTCAATACAGACACATGCTGTGCTCGCAATGATACAGATAGATGGCGCGTGACAAAAAAACAATCAGGTTCAAAGCTGGTCAAGTTCATTATTGATCATCATGCCATATAGGTGAAGCAGAGTCCCCTGAATGAAAACTCTTAAGGGAACAAAGAAAACACGCACTTGCTACACTCGCGACTAATTTTATCAATCGCTAGTATACTAAGCATTGCAATGCAAAACACTCTAGCACAATATACAAAACACTGAAATGAGGCAACCAGGTGGCATACAGTAAGTACAGAAACAAATCATTGATTTACTAAGCAATATGTTGCAGACCACTCGAGAACAATAAAATGGCGAAGATGATAATAAAGCCTCGCGCAACCGTGCAGGCAGAATGCAGGTGATACACGCTTCTCAGTAACCGCCATAGTAAGCAATATGAATGGCGAGGGCTTTCATTGGCGTGTACGGTAAAATACCCTGTTGTGCAGAGACTATGAACACTTCAGTAACATTACTTAACTGTATGAGAAAAGAATAAATGAGAGTTTTTGAAGAAAAAAGCTGTGTTCTTTACATTTGCAATGTACATAGAACGCACAAAAACTTCCTGTTCATTTTGAAAACTTCTGCAGCTTCCTTTGCTGTGACTGCGTTGTTTTTTAGTGTTCAAAATATCTGTCTCCATCTGAACGTAGTTTTTCAGAAGGGTGTTTGCTGCTGCCACAAGTATATTAGTCAGCACAGTGTCAGGGTGATGACCATTGGTACAGACATCAAAATCCTCACATTCGCAAAGGTGCCTTGTGATAGACACAAGGACCTCCCTCTGTTTAGGAGTTGCATGAAAACGTGAGGCATTCTCTTTGCTGGTAAGCTGTTCCAAGACAATGTGGGCGTGTAGAACTGCATTAATGACAGTCGGCTGGGGAAACTTCAGAGCGTCTCTCGAGAGGTTTTCAATCAGGACATTTCTCTCAAGCTGAATTTCCCAGTCCTGAGATGTAATATTCATGGCACAATACTCACAAGGCAGCTTCTTTAATGCGGCGTGTGCACAAAATCCTGCAATGTACGTAATTACTGCCAAATTGGGCTCCTTATTTTTTATATCACAGTCTGATATCTTAACACCGTACTCCTGTGCCAGTTGAGCTCCGTCAAATGTTATAGCACATGGCTTCTGTATTTCCTGCATATCGGGCAAAACCAAACTGTCTTGTAGCCTCAGCTTCTTTTCTGACTCGAAGACTTGCTGTATTGATATGTGATAATTTGTTCCAGAGAGCCGACGGTACTGTCCGAACCTTTCCTCCAAACTGTCGGCCTGAAATTTACCCAGCAAGACATAGTTGAAATTCAGTTCTTCAAGACAGTACCGGCACAGTTCGACAAGCGAGTAACAAGTAAGCCACAGTGCTGCATGGGTTTCTGTGATTAATGCCCCGGTATCCATCCTGATGTCTCGCCACGTGTCCAACCAGTCTACGAAATTGTTAAGAAATTCGATCTGCTTGTCACTCAAACTCCTCACTGGATCCTGAAGCGGACCTCTGAGGCGCCGGCCCTTTGAGGGGCTTTTTACATTGACAATATGCCACCACTTCAAAATTAGGTCAATGAATTGCGCTGTCCCCGCGGCGTAGTTCAAACTGAGTTCGTTTCCGCGAATTTTTAGCGCCTCCATCACAAATGAACTGAAAACTTTCAAAGCAAGCGTCACGTTCTGGCGCTCAATGTTGGATGGATGCAGTGATTTATAGCTCAATCCATAGCCAAACTTTGAGACACTGTGTTGCTCAGAAGCATGCAGGTCCCGAAGAGCTTTGAAAGAAGCTCCGTTTACCTGAACTAACGAGGAAGTGCTGGGAAATTCAGGGAAAAAGATGCACGTACCAGGATTTTTTTGGTTCAACCAGTTGTTCCTTACACATTTTAGAAGGTGTACAGGATATCCCGGCTGCGGCGGCTGCATTTCCGATGGAGGCGGAAATGTTGTAGGCCCGTGTGCTCAGATTTGGGTGCACGTTAAAGAACCCCAGGTGGTCAAAATTTCCGGAGCCCTCCACTACGGCGTCTCTCATAATCATATGGTGGTTTTGGGACGTTAAACCCCAGATATCAATCAAATCAAGGTGTACAGGATCTACCACATAAAAAAGGGGTCTTGAATTGTCTGCTGGGTGGGGGTACACAATGTCAACTGTTCGCGTCTTAGAAAAAAAGGACATCACCTTTCTGTTTATCGAATTGTTGTCTGTGATTACTGCGATGACAGTAAGCCCTGCTTTCTCCAGCTCTAGAATTGTCTTTCTCAGGGCCTCATGCAGTTCAACTGCTTCGATGTTAGCCACTGGCAGAATGTGAGTGACATCCTTGTGCGCTGATAGCAAGGACTGTATCATAAAAACATGAGCAGTTTTGGCTGCTTTTTCCGAATTAGAAGCCGCCCCCGTCACCCAGCCACCTTTGTATTCAAAGTATGGCTGAATGTGGATTTCATCCACCATTAGAGTCACAATCTTTTCATGTGGTTTGAGAAGGCTTGATCGCTTCTTCATATAACGTAAAAACCCTTCATCGTCCTGCTCATTTGCAGGGTTCTCGTTATACTGCGAACAGATTCGCACGAGCGTAGATCGATGTGGCAGTGCTACCTTGCCAGCGCTGCGAATGAATCTGTAGGCGTGCGGGGAAATAGTGTACAAAATGCTAGAGAATATCAAAAGGTCAGCAGAGTACCGCACTGAGTGGTCATTTTTCTGCAGTAGCTCAAGCTGTTCCTTGATAAATCCAAGGGTTTCTATTTTCTCCTGCGGCAAAAGATCATCTGAACTGAGGCTGTCCAGCAAGGAGAACAACAAGTTGAAAGTTGCCTTCACTTTGTCATCCTTTACACAAACGTCTGGGCCCCTGAAACGTCTCGCACTGTCTAGTGCGGTCTGCAGGCAGCGCAGATCGCCCAGTCTAGATGGGACGAGGAGATCTTTCCCAGGTAGTTTCGCCTTCCTCCAGAAAGCCGTAACCTCCATGTTCCTGCTGACAACCACAGATCTTTCAACTTCCGGTGGATCTTCGCCCTCTACATGAAGAAACAGAACAGTGTTTGCTGCTTGTACTGCTGTCCAGTAGCTGGAGAGGTCGACGCGTTGTAGTTGCGATACAAGGTCCTCGTATGACTGCAGCTTATTTAGGCGGTCCTCTTCTTCGTGCGAAGAAATGGACTGTCGAATAGCTTCCTCCAGATGCGATGCTTCGCGACGTTTCCGCTTTTCCTCGGGCTCCTCGCGCACTGGTGCGCAGTCGCTCAGGTAAGCAGGGGAATTTGGAAAGATTGTCGGCACTGCGTCCGGAGTAAGCCGAGTGGCGCCCATGGCAGCTTCTATTTTCCTGCCGGTTGTAGGATCGGTGTACGTGGTGGTCGTCCTCAAGTATTCAGGCTTGAAATGGAGCTCGCATACCTGCACACCATTGACAAAAATAAAATGCATTATTAGAGATTTTCTCCTTCATATCCCCCTCATTTACTTGGCTAGAAAATACGGAAATCTTAGCTCTGTACAGACATGCACATATCAATGAAAGGCACCAGCAGACATCTGAAGGAAATTTATTGATTACGGGGTTTAACACACCGAAACTGCACAGCTAGGCGATGAGGCGCGCCGCAGTGGAAGGCTCCAGGTCAATTTTGACCACCCATGGAAACCTTTAACGTACGCTTAAGTTTCGTACACACTATCGTTTTTGCTTTTCGCCTCCTTCAGAAAAGCGGCCGCCGCGGCCGGGAATCGAACCCGCGACCTTGCGCTCAGCACCACAACGCCTTAGCCACTGAGCCACCACGGCGGGTCATTTCAAGGAAACAAAGTAACGGAAGCGGCTAGCGCGATGGCATGCAATTCCAAAAGCGCAAGAAAGTCGCGGGTGCAGCATCAAGCAATAAATAACACATGGATTCATGTGATTACGCCACTCATATTTCTCAATTAAAAGTCGGAGCTGTTACAGAAGTGCGTGGTGCCCTGCGGCAACATCGAAATTTCAACGACAGCTCTCAAGATAATTGCATAGCAATCGAAGAAAATATAGAGAATCCAAGAAAGTGTGCTCTGAGATATCTTTCAAATACTCATCACGAAACGTTGAGTGATAACGTGTGTACAAATAAAACAACACGCTCTTTGATGCAACTTGTTGTCCTTCCACAGACTTTTTCCTTTTCCTGCCTACCTTCGTTCTAACGACGCATATGACCCCTTCAAAAACATATTTACACATAGATGTCACGCTGCAGAACGGCCGGCTAGGAAGCAGGCAAGCAGAAAGGTGAACAGAAATGAACTCGGCCAGTGAAGTTCACGAGTTACTCCTAAAGAAATGAACGACAACGCACTCGGCGAGAACGAGTGCCAGCCGTTTCCCGCATGCGTTTTAATACTTGCATCATCGAAATTTCTCAACGGTGCACTGGAGAGCAAGTATAAGTGAGAACAAACAGCAAAGTCGAGCGTTGCTTGAACTTAGAATGCGTCCCGGCGCTTCTAGAAAGAACATCACTTAAAACATGCGGGCCACCTTATAGCCATGGCGGAATTCCTATCACAACAAAGCGGGAAAGCCGAAGCGAATAGTTCAACACAGAAATGAACACACGCGGCAATGAACACACGCGGAAACATAACAAAGCACAAATTACTCAACAGCGAGTAATGAAAACGTATACATACCTTTGGATCGCGGAGAGAACGAATATCGACGTCATCTCGACGAACGGCACGCTCCCATACCACTCGTCGGGCATCCTTGGGGAACGAGAACACTCGAACTTTTGGTCCGGTGTCGTAGTTCCCGCGAGAATTCGGCACGCAGCATCGCCCCATTACGACAGTTAGCAGGCGAACATTCGGTTAACGACCAAGCACATCACACCATCACGCAGCTTTTCACATATGCAGACAAACGCCTCTTCTCAGGCCGCCAGAAACACCACAACAGCGTAACAACAAAAGACACCACCACACCGCGTCAACGGCTCGCCAGGCTTAGCACGCCGGCCAACTCGAACGGCGCGGCACAGCAGCGCGAGTGGCACAGCCACTCGGCGGAAGCCGTAGGTCAAAACTGAGTGACGTCACAGGCCACGACCGGAGGAGCGGACAGGCCTGATCCCGTTCAAGAGGGCGCTGGCTGGGTGCCAGGGCACCGTGAGATCCAAGGCAACGTGAGGGCGGATCGGCTTGCTGCATCCGTCCATGAAAACACTGCCACTACACCCATATCAATCCCGGCCCTTGATCTTAAGCCGTCTCTCAAACGAAACCTCAGGCACTACTGGCAGAGCAAGTGGAATAGACACGCACAAAACAAACTACACATTATTAAGCGACACCTTGGCCACTGGCTGCCAGTATCAAAATCGCATCATACAGAGGTAATACTAACGAGGCTCAGGATAGGACACACACATATCTTTTGTCTGGTGGCGATCCACCATTGGGTGACAGATGTGGTGAAGCAGTAACAGTTCTTCACATGTTAATTCAGTGCAAACAGTTAGAAACTCCAAGAAAACAACACTTTCGATTATCCTACCGACAACATAAACCTTTACACCCTGCAATGTTCGTCGGTAGGGAACCGCTTTTTAGTCGTAAATCATTGTTAGCGTTTTTAAAAGAAATTCGTAGTTTTCATATATACTCGGGCATTTCATAGCACGATCTCTCCAGAGAGGTTTTCGCTGCGGTGGCTACACAACAAAGCACTTGCCTCATGTCCCTTGGACGCAAGGGTATGAAAGAGTGAGGCACTTGTGCTAATGCCATACATGTCCACCATTGTTCTTTATTATGACCAACTTTTGTCACCTATTCACACCACACACACCTTTCACGGCATGGTCATGATTTTATTAATTGTATGTTTTTACCCGTCTTACCGCGAGGAATTTTATGGCCCTTATACAGCCGCTTATCACAATCATTGTCCATATCTTAATAAGATGAACTGGCACTCCTTGGTCGTGAAACGGCCCTTGCGCCACAAAACATCAAACATCATCAAGATTTATGGACTCTATTCTTCGCGGTCTGAAATGGGAGATCTGTTTGTGCTATCTGGACGACGTCATTTTTGGCCGCACATTCGAAAAACATAATGTTCGTTTGAGCCTCGTTGAGCCTCGCTCTGGACTGTGTGGGAAAGGCTGGCTTGGTCTTGAACTCCAAGATGTGTTGGTTTGGTGAACGGCAGGCCTTGATCCTTGGCCGTTTGGTAGACAGAGATGGGGTCAGGCCTGACCCCCGGAAAATTAAAGCGGTCAGCGCCTTTAAGCCACCTACGGCTGTAAAAGAACTTCGCAGCTT